AGTCACCAGACTTAAATCCGATTGAGAACCTCTGGTGGGACTTAAAGAAAGCAGTTGCAGTGCGCAAGCCTAAGAATGTGACTGAACTGGAGGCCTTTGCCCATGAAGAATGGGCGAAGATACCCGTAGATCGCTGCAAGACACTTGTGTCAAGCTATGCTTCACGTTTAAAAAGCTGTTATAACTGTAAAAGGATGCTGTACTAAGTACTAAGATTGAATGTCACTTGGGGGTTGAATAAAACTGATAATGCTGTGAGCACAGAAAAGACATTTGTGGTTATTTCATTATAACTGTTATGTTATATATTTGTCTGACCTACAAGTGCCTCTTTAATGTAAATGTAAGCAAGATGACTGAATGATCAAAAGCAATGTCAAACTGGCCAAAAACACTCAATTTCAGTGGGGGTTGAATAATTTTGGACACAACTGTATATATATATATATATATATATATATATATATATATATATATATATATATATATATAATATATATATATATATACACAATACATACATACACACACACACGTGATTCGCGCTCCCGTGGTTTTCACACCCCTCCCAGATAGCCCGTTAGTACACCCAGTCATCACATTTAACCCCTTGATTGCCAGGAGCACGCTCATGTACAATAAAACTCCACTGCTAGTATAGTGTCTGAACTGGTCAATATCTTTGATCAGATCAGCACTATACCAGCGTTCACATTAGTATAGTGTCCTCAAAAACGCAGCATTAGCGGGATCAGCCCCGCCACTTGCCAGCACCTGCATTTAGCCCCTACGCTTAACCCCTCCCCCTTCTCCCCCAGCAAGTGCAGTGTCAGTAGGTCACTGTCACTTGATACATTGCACACAAATCTGCAGTGTTTGCAGAATCAGGCTTGATCTCTGTTAGCACTTGCCGGTAAATTTTGATGACTCTCATATGCAGCAGAGTGCCAGTACTAGTGCCGCTCTACCTTTTGGTGAACTGGCGAGTACCAGCGGTCTAGTACATCTTGGTCTTTCACATACCCCCTTGATTTTTGGAGCTGTTTTTCACGGAATATCTGTATGCGTTGATTGTGGATCAAAGCAATTTATATGCACAACAATTTATCACCGCCAACCCAAATTCAAACCTTGCCAAACCAGTCGCATGGAAACTCATTACGGTTTTTGAATTTACAATTTTTTTGGGTCTAACCGTGAACATGGGCATTACTAAAAGAAATGAATTGCGGTTGTATTGGTCCGCAGACCCGATTCATCATATGCCCGTGTTCTCTGCTGCCATGGCCAGGCATAGATATGAGAGTATAATGTGTTTTATGCATTTCAACGACAATACACTCTGTCATCCTCGGGGTACCCTGAATTTGACCGGCTCCACAAAATTCAGCACCTCGCAAATCACCTTAACCAAAAATTTGCAGATGTCTATACTCCCCAGCAAAACATCTGCATTGATGAGTCCCTCATTAATTTTTCTGGCCACCTTGCATTCAAACAATTTCTCCCCTGCAAGCGTGCCAGAGTATGGGGTCAAGATGTAGAAGACCTGTGAGAGGGCAACAGGCTATATTTATAAGTTGTGGATTTACAAGGGAAAAGATAGTCACGTGGAGCCCCCTGGATGCCCAGACTACATGGGGAGCAGTGGCAAGATAGTTGAGACTTGGTGTCATCCTTTTTCCATGTGGGGTACCACTTACAGTCAGGTCCATAAATATTGGGACATCAACACATTTCTAACATTTGTGGCTCTATACACCACCACAATGGATTTGAAATGAAATGAACAAGATGTGCTTTAACTGCAGACTGTCAGCTTTAATTTGAGGGTATTTACATCCAAATCAGGTGAACGGTGTAGGAATTACAACAGTTTGCATATGTGCCTCCAACTTGTTAAGGGACCAAAAGTAATGGGACAATTGGCTTCTCAGCTGTTCCATGGCCAGGTGTGTGTTATTCCCTCATTATCCCAATTACAATGAGCAGATAAAAGGTCCAGAGTTCATTTCAAGTGTGCTATTTGCATTTGGAATCTGTTGCTGTCAACTCTCAAGATGAGATCCAAAGAGCTGTCACTATCAGTGAAGCAAGCCATCATTAGGCTGAAAAAAACAAAACAAACCCATCAGAGAGATAGCAAAAACATTAGGCGTGGCCAAAACAACTGTTTGGAACATTCTTAAAAAGAAGGAACGCACCGGTGAGCTCAGCAACACCAAAAGACCCGGAAGAACACGGAAAACAACTGTGATGGATGACCGAAGAATTCTTTCCCTGGTGAAGAAAACACCCTTCACAACAGTTGGCCAGATCAAGAACACTCTCCAGGAGGTAGGTGTATGTGTGTCAAAGTCAACAATCAAGAGAAGACTTCACCAGAGTGAATACAGAGGGTTCACCACAAGATGGAAACCATTGGTGAGCCTCAAAAACAGGAATGCCAGATTAGAGTTTGACAAACGACATCTAAAAAAGCCTTCACAGTTCTGGAACAACATCCTATGGACAGATAAGACCAAGATCAACTTGTACCAGAGTGATGGGAAGAGAAGAGTATGGAGAAGGAAAGGAACTGCTCATGATCCTAAGCATACTACCTCATTAGTGAAGCATGGTGGTGGTAGTGTCATGGCGTGGGCATGTATGGCTGCCAATGGAACTAGTTCTCTTGTATTTATTGATGATGTGACTGCTGACAAAAGCAGCAGGATGAATTCTGAAGTGTTTCGGGCAATATTATCTGCTCATATTAAGCCAAATGCTTCACAACTCATTGGACGCCGCTTCACAGTGCAGATGGACAATGACCCAAAGCATACTGCAAAAGCAACCAAAGAGTTTTTTAAGGGAAAGAAGTGGAATGTTATGCAATGGCCAAGTCAATCACCTGACCTGAATCCGATTGAGCATGCATTTCACTTGCTGAAGACAAAACTGAAGGGAAAATGCCCCAAGAACAAGCAGGAACTGAAGACAGTTGCAGTAGAGGCCTGGCAGAGCATCACCAGGGATGAAACCCAGCGTCTGGTGATATCTATGCGTTCCAGACTTCAGGCTGTAATTGACTGCAAAGGATTTGCAACCAAGTATTAAAAAGTGAAAGTTTGATTTATGATTATTATTCTGTCCCATTACTTTTGGTCCCTTAACAAGTGGGAGGCACATATGCAAACTGTTGTCATTCCTACACCGTTCACTTGATTTGGATGTAAATACCCTCAAATTAAAGCCAACAGTCTGCAGTTAAAGCACATCTTGTTCCTTTCATTTCAAATCCATTGTGGTGGTGTATAGAGCCAAAAATGCTAGAATTGTGTCGATGTCCGAATATTTATGGACCTGACTGTATATGTGGACAATTTTTATTCAAGCGTGCCACTATTTAGACCAGTGGTTCTTAACCTGGGTTCGATCGAACCAGGGGTTCGGTGAGTCAGTCTCGCGGGTTCGGCGGAGGTGAAGACCCACACCCGACTCATATGATTCGTGCAGTAAATATTCATTATTATATTTTTGTTTTTGTGTGAAAATCATGTTTTAATGGTTTTGTTCTTTGTTCTTAACGGTTTTGTTCATTTTGTGCACCTATGTATAAATATATACCTAAATATATACCTATGTTTTGAATTTTAAAAATCATATTTTATTTTTCCAATTAAGAAGGGTTCGGTGAATGTGCATATGAAACTGGTGGGGTTCAGTACCTCCAACAAGGTTAAGAACCACTGATTTAGACATTTGTTCAATCTTGGAACTGGCGCTTGTGGCAAAGTGTGACCTAATGTGTGCCCACCATTAGAAGTGGGTGCATGCAGGGCAGTATATTCTAATAGTGGGCATACCACACACTTTTTCTGGCAGAGATTTCTTCTCATTTTTTTATTCAGTCCACAGGCTGCATACAAAAAAAAAAAAGAACATAGTATATACACCCAACAAGGACCAGCGACATACTGGTACATCACTGGACTTTGAATGGTTATACCAGGACGATGCCTACAGCTACAGGTATCGTTTATTTCAGCCGGCGATCGGCGTTCATGTAAAAGCAATCCTAGTGGCTAATTAGCTGCAGGATTGCTTTTACAAGCAGTGGGAGATTATGCCCCCCCTCCCCCAGAGTCTGATATCCAGATAGCAAAAAAGAATATATGACAATGCATTGAAGTTATAGGGGATATTTGCATCCCTGTTATAGCATTAAAAGTGATAAAAAGAAAAAAAAATGAAAGGTATAATGTAAAAAATAATAAAAAAAATTAAAAGAACTAAAAAAAAAAAAAAAAAATCACCCCTCCCATGCGCACACACCTGTGTGCACAAGCCTTGACCCTGTGCTGGTATGTGTAAACAGCGGTTGCACCATGCATGTGAGGTATTGCTGTGAACGTCAGATCAAGGGCAGTAATTCTAACACTAGACCTCCTCTGTAAATCTAAAATGGTAGCTTTTAAAGGCTTTTAAAGGATATTAACCTCCCTAGCGGTCTGATTATGTCCATATTTCTGTGCTCAAAGCGGTAAATTTTTTTGCATGGAAATATGTATTTTTTTTTATTGTAGGCCTGTAATTTTTAGGAATAAGTCACTGAAATCTGTCCGAACAAGAGTCCAGTAAATATCCCACATATGTTAAAATTTGAAACACAAAATCATAAATTATAATATAATAAATAATCATAAAAAATAATAATAATAAATTTAATTCCATATAATCAAACCAAAAACACTGAAATTTGAAATATAGCGCCAAGTTCGCACATCACTGAGCAAAGTCACAGAATCGTTTTCAGTGTCTGATGACGAATTTCCCCACGAATCATTATCACTCAATTCTGCAAGTGGTTCTGATTTACTATCGCTGTTCTCTAGCTGGTCTAAAACCGCTTTTGACCTAAAGGGACGCTTTTTGGACGCCATGAACATTTCTCAGTTTCCAGGCAGAAAGAACGGTAAAAGTGTAGGCAGGGCACAGGACAAAGCACTCGGGACAAAATGTATGTGAAATGGTTTGATACAGTAATGTTTTACTATGTGATTTTAGTGTATTTAGTGAATGTCACTTTTTGTCATTTTCAAATTTCCCGCCAGTTCCGTCCCCGTACGCCCCGATGCTCGCAGGGGACGGAACCCAGATGACAGATGCCGGCATCTGCCGGAGGACATTACAGGGGACACTGCAGGAGCACAGGACAAGGTAAGTGATCGAGGGATCCCGAAGCATCGCCGCATGATAAGCCCGAGTGTAGCTCGGGGTTACCGCTTGTGGTACTGAAACTTTACTCCGAGCTACACTTGGGAATACCGCCAGGGAGGTTAAAAAGGTTTGCAGCTTTTTGCTATTGCATGGGGCATGCGCAGTTTTAAAGCATGTCATGTTTGGTATCTATTTACTTGGCATACCATTATCTTATATATTTTACCAAATAATTGGACAATATATTGTGTTTTTGTGCATTAAAAGTAAAAAAAAAAGTGTATTTTTTTTTTAAATTTGCATTTGAAAAATCGCTGCACGAGTACTATGTGCCATAAAAAAAAAAAAATTGTAGTACCCACCATTTTATTCACTAGGGTGTCTGCTTTAAAAAAATATAATGTTTGGGGGTTTAAATTAATTTCCTAGCAAAAAATACAGATTTTTTTCATGTGAACAAAAAGTGTCAGAAAAGGCTTGGTCTTCAGGTAGTTAGAAGAGTGAGTAATGTGTGGCATAAACTTCTAATGCTGGACATAGAATGCCCACACCCCCCCAAAACAACCCCTTTTTGGAAAATAGACACCCCAAACTATTTGCTGAGAGGCATGTTGAATCAATGGAAGAATTTATTTTTTTACCACAAGTTTTTGGAAAATGACAAAAAAAAAATATATATTTTTTTTACACAAAATTGTCACTTAAATGATTTACTGCTCACACATGCCATGGGTATATGTGGAATTACACCCCAAAATACATTCTGCTACTTCTCTCGAGTATGGGGGTACCACATGTGAGAGACGTTTTGGCAGTCTAGCCAAGTACAGGACCCCAAAATCCAATAAGCACCTTCAGGCTTTTAAAGGGCTTTATTTCCTCATTACACTTCCAGACTACCTATCACAGTTTCAGAGGCCATGAAATGCCAGGATAGCGCCTAACCCCCCAAGTGACCCCTTTTTGGAAAGTAGACACCCCAAGGAATTTGATAAAAAGCACGCTAAGTATTTTGCAGATCTCATTTGTTGCCAGAAGTTTTTGGAAAATGAAGAAAAAAACAAAAACATATTTTTTTTTATATTTGAAAACCTTGTGAGAAAAAAATTCAAAACTGTGATAGGTAGTGAGGAAGTGTAATGAGGAAGTTACGCACCTTCAGGCTTTCAAAGTGGTCATTGGATTTCAGGCTCCTGTATGTGGCTAGGCTCCCAAAAAAATCTCACACACGTGGTATCCCCATACTCAGTAGAAGTAGCAGAATGTATTTTAGGGTGTAATTCCACATATACCCATGGCTTGTGCGAGAAATAAATCATTTAAATGACAACTTTGTGTAAAAGAAAAAAAAAAAGAAAAGTTTTTTGTCATTTTCCAGAAACTTGTGGAAAAAAAATAAATCTTCCATTGACTCAGGCTGCTCTCAGCAGATAGCCTAGGGTGTCTAGTTTGAGGGTGTTTGTACTATCCTGGTATTTTAGCACCTCAAGAAATGTGATGGGCAGTCAGAAAGTAAAAGCTGTGTAAATTCCATTATCTATATCATAGTTTGTAGACGCTATAACTTTCACACAAAACAATCAGTATACATTTCTCATACCACCAAAAGAAAGCTCTATTTGTGTGAAAAAAAAAGCACATAAATTTCATTTTCATTTATGTACCGTATTACACGACCGCGCAACTGTCCGTTAAACTAGCGCAGCGCTGTATAGCAAAAAAAAAAAAAAAATGGCGTAAATTGCAGTATCTATACCATATTTTGTATAACTTTCACACAAAGCAATCAATATACACTTATTGGGATTTTTTTTTACCAAAACATGTAGCAGAATACATTCTGGCCTAAATTTATACCTAACTTTGAGTTTACTATATATTTTTTATAGCTGAAAGTAAAAAATATTGTTTTTTCTTCAAAATTTTTGGTCTTCTTTTGTTTATAGCGTGAAAAATAAAAAGCGCACAGGTGATCAAATACCACCGAAAGAAAGCTCTATTTGTGTGAAAAAAGGATGTAAATTTAGTTTGGGTGCAGCACTGCATGACCGCGCAATTATCAGTTGAATTAGTGCAGCGCCGAGTAGCAAAAAGAGGCCTGGTAATTAAGGGGGGTAAATCGTCAGGAGTGCAAGTGGTTAAAATGTATAGGTTTCTGTCTCAGTGTACTTGTTGGACTTGCAGGCCACATGATCACCGTTAAAGATCTTTTTGAGTTTTTTCCAACACTCCAGCAACATATGAGATGAGTGTTCAGTGATGGAGTAACCATTCTAGAACAGGTGTGGGGGCCTTCAATGCAATCTGTCTTCACCATACAATACCGCATTATTATTAACCCTGACATTTCCACAGTTTACACCTTTGGTCATGTAAATTGAGGAACATACACACCTAAGCAGACTTTCTGACACCAACAATGTGATTAGGGTGGTTGCAGAATTTTCACAACTTTCATTCTGTTCCATACAATGGAAGTGACTGGTATATATTGGGCAGCAAGTAACCATGTTGTCCCTGAAATTAATGTGTTGAAAGCAGAACAAAAATGGGCAAGCATTCGGATTTATGAGACTTTGACAAGGGCCAAATTGTAATGTCTAGATGACTGGGTCACAGCAACTCCAAAAACTGCAGCTCTTGTGGAATGTTCCTGCGTGGTCAGGACCTACCAAAAAGTGGTCCAAGGAAGGAAAACTGGCGACAGGGTCATGGGCAGCCAAGACTGATGCATGTGTGCAACGAAGTTTGAAGGAACACAAACTAGTCTAAGGTGTTGAAGTGAAGCATCTGTGGGATGTGCTGGAAAAATCAAGTCTGATCCATAAAGGTTCCACCTCTCAACTTATAGGACTTAAAGGTTCTGCTACTGATGGCTTGGTGTCAGATACCACAGCCTATCTTCAGAGGTCTTATAGAGTCTATGCCTCACCGGTGGTCATAATGTTATGACTGATCAGTGTAAATGCTGGGGTATCTTCTTGATACTCACTGGAACTGAAAAAATTGCTTGAATAAACTATAAAACATCTTCAACATTACAGAACAAGTCCAGTTGAATATGACCAACTACTTCTAGATATAACAATGACCTGGATAAATGATAATCTTCACATATACTGTATATACAGTATGTATTACATTATTCTGCATCAACCTTGTCTTATGTTAAACTAGCCCATTGCAGAAATGTAAACTTCACCAGCTCATAGCCTAACCATTTAAAAAAATATTCTAAATCAATTAAATCATGTTAAATGGGTTGTGATAAGCCAAATACTTTTTATGGAAGAAATAAACACAGAGCTAACAGGTTATGTACAAACTGCAGTATTCAATTCCAACTCAAACTATTGTCTGCCTTATGTTTACTTTTTCTACATATATCTTGCAATGTCCTACTGTAGCTGCCCCCTTTGTGTGATTAGGTTTTGTAATATTAGCAAAGGTAAGTCTAGTGGGATGCAAGGACAGTGATTGGTAGGTGTGAGAAGCTGTGTACACATTGGCACTAAGCAGTAAAACATACATCTCTGTCCTTAAAGTGGTATTAAACCCAAAACAAAAACGTTATATATTACAGTTTACCAATCATTAGATGTGGTGGCTGCATTAGCTTTCTTTTTTTAAGCTTTTCCCTTCTCTATTAGCCATCACATCTAAGAATTGTTAAACTTCAATGTTTGCATTTTCTGTGCAACCCTTTTTAACCACTAAGTCCACTCTATAGCAGATTTACTGCTACAGGGTGGATGTTCTCTGCAAATGCACATATATAAATGTGATTTTACACTTCCGCCACTGTGATTGGACAGAGCAGAAGCCGATCAACAAGTGCCGGCCAATGGATAAGGAGCGGCACCTGCTGATCGCCGAGGCAACTGACAGAGCACAGCTCTGCCTATGTAAACAAGGCAGAGCTGTGTTGTATCTGCAGCGATTTGCTAGATTTTATTTAAGGAATAAAATCTAGCAAATTGCCTAGTAAAAACAGCACACACAGTACACAAATCACATAGCTAAGCACACAATTAACCCTTTGATTGCCCTAGATGTCTAACCCCATCCCTGCCAGTGTCATTAATACAGTGACAGTGTGTGTGTGTATATATATATATATATATATATATATATATATATATATATATATATATATATATATATATATATATATACATATATATATATATATATATATATATATATATATATATATATATATATATATATATATATATATATACATACATACATACATATACATACATACATACACACACACACACACACATACACACACATGCATACACACACACACAGTTGTGTTCAAAATAATAGCAGTCAGACATCACTAACCTGATCAATCACTGTTTTTGGTAGAAATGATATTTCTACATGGCAAATAATTTACTAGCAGATGTAGTTGAGTAATAGAAATCCAACAGACCCAACAGTCATGACATGCATGCTGCTGATTCTGTGTAATTGAATCACTAATTGAAAGTGGCATGTTCAAAATAATAGCAGTGTGGAGTTCTATTAGTGAGGTCATTCATTCTTTGAAAAACAGGTGGCAGCTATTGCCCTTATTTAAGGAAGGAAGGCAGCAAATGTTGTACATGCTGGTTACAGTGCATTTCTCTCTGAAATTCTGAGGAAAATGGGTCATTCCAGACATTGTTCAGAAGAACAGCGTACCTTGATTAAAAAGTTGATTGGAGAGTGGAAAACATATAAAGAAGTGCAAAAAATGATAGGCTGCTCAGCTAAAATGATCGCAAATGCTTTAAAATGGCAACCAAAACCTGAAAGATGTGGAAGAAAGCGAAAAACTACCATTCAAATGGATAGAAGAATAGCCAAAATGGCAAGGACTCAGCCAACAATCAGCTCCAGGAAGATCAAAGAAGGTCTAAAGTTACCTGTGAGTACTTTTACAATTAGAAGACGCCTATGTGAAGCCAAGCTATCTGCAAGAAGCCCCCGCAAAGTCCCACTGTTGAAAAAAAGACATGTGCTGAAGAGGTTACAATTTGCCAAAGAGCACATTGACTGGCCTAAAGAGAAATGGCGCAACATTTTGTGGACTGATGAAAGTAAGATTGTTCTTTTTGGGTCTA